GTGAAATTTAACAGTATTTTATTTTTTTAATTCACTTGTGGGATGTGGGCATCTTTGGCTAGGCCAGCATTGATTGCCCATCCAGAATTTCCCAGACAGTGGTTGAGAGTCAACCACATTGCTGTGGGTTTGTACTCACATGTAGGCCAGACCAGGTAAGAATGGCAGAATTCCTTCTCTAAATGTCATTAGTGAACCAGATGGGTTTTTCCAACAATCGACAATGGTTTCATGGTCATCATTAGACGATGCATCTAAGATTCCAGATTCTTTAAATTGAATTCAAATTCCACTATCTGCCATCATGGAATTTGAGCCTGGAACCCAGAACATTAGCTGAGTTTCTGGATTAATAGGCTTGTGATAATACCACAAGGCCATTGCCTCCCATTTAAATCTGTCACACCCTCCAACAACTATAACTTATGTTTGTTCAGTGCCACTAGCTGTGTGCATATTGAGTTTCACTTCCTTCAGAAAATTCAAGAGAAGTCATGAAGATGTGAATCAATCCTTGTGAAGTACGTCAGTGAATGTATTGAAAAAAAAATTACCTTTCTGGAAGTTACCAGAATTCACTGGAAGGGCAGCTGCTAACAGTTGTCTGTCTATCAGTCACACCATTTGTTCCCAATCCTCAGCTGTCTCGCTGTTCTCAAAATAGAAATGGACAGCGCTAACTTCATTTAAAAGGGGTCTGGTAAATATTACTATAAACTATTCTGAGACAATTAAATCCAAATGGCCCTGTGATTAGTTTCATCTGGTGTTATTGTTATCAGATTGTATCTATTAATATCATCCACTGATGATTGCAAAGTAGTTGGTAATGTATAGGTTTTCTGGGAGCAATAAATGCCCCCACTAGTGCCTTTATCATTACTCTGGCCTTGGTCCATTTCAGTGAGATATATATGAACTGAACAGGTCAGGTTAAAAGAAGTGCGACACTGCACAAAATATCCGGATCAAATTGGTGCTACATCTTCAGCAAATCTCCTGCAGGCGTAAGAAACTTTTTTGGAACTTTGTATGCAATGTTTTTTACTTCTTTCAATCAGTTAATTGGCAAATGTGTGAAAAAGTATATGGGAAAAGAATAAAATGCTGAAGTTAAAAAAAAATTAAAAACAGGGCGATCAGGTGGACAACAAGGTTCTAGCTTAGCGTAAATGGATTCTTTCTCAGCTCTAATGCAGGATCTCCACCTATATCATTAATGTCCTTAAATACAATCTGATGTCCTTGGCTTCAAGCTGTTTTGACTTTGAATTGCATAAAATTACAAAAATACATTGAGGCTTTGATGTAGGCAACTGAACTAACAATAAAATAGTCTTTAGACAATTGTTAGGGAGGGCACACTCTCAGCAAATATTGCCCAAATATGGTAGGTTATGAGGCACTGAAGCTAGCAAGATAAGCATTAACCATGTGGTATTGTGAATTCTATAACTGAGGCCTTTCTTTGGTGCTCTTCTGCTGTTCACAGTTTCAAACTGGTAAGCTGTACAAAGATGGTTGAAACCATTTTAGTTTGGTTGCTTTTGTTGTATTTATATTGGCAATGATGAAATGTTAGCTCCTCAGGCTTTCGTGAAGTGTTTTGTTTGACACAGACTGTGATTAGAATTTAAAAGGACTTGTGATAGTAGCATTCCTGCCTGCAGACTAAAAGCTCAGCTCTCTAACCTTCGGTGACGAGAGTTTGAGAAATGTTTTTGTTTCATTTTCCGATGAAAGTCTTGCTGAGACACAAGTAATAACTTCAAAAGGATCTGAACTGGGGAGAACATTTGATCTTTGTAGGGCAATCTAATGGAAATATAATCATGTAACTAATCTACCAAAACAACTCCAACAAAACTAAATAAACTGTGAACATGTGTATGTTAAATTTAGTTTTACTTGAAGCAAAATGATGATTCACATACATGAGTATAAAGTTATTATGCAGATAGATTCCCAATGTCTTTTTCTGATCAACTTTGGTTAATTCAAGTTAAGTTTCCATTGAATTAAATGGAATTAAATGAACAGTAGGAGCTACACTGTTACAAATGTGATTCTTTAGTTTTGTTGATATGCATGAGCCTGAAGCCATGACTCATTTGATAAGCCCTTGGATAAAATCATTCCTAAATATGGCTTGGGGAGAAAGGTTAATTGACAAAGAGACTTTGGGTTTGGAAAAGAGTGAAGTTGGCTGTTTGTATGTCACAGAATTCATGAGACAGCAATGAATGGACAAATTCTATTCCTTTTTAAGGAGCAGAACATTACAAAACAAAGTGAAATACAATACACAATAGTTTGTCAGGGGTAAATTTCAATGTGAATATCCAAATAATGTTATAAATAAATTTGAAAAGCACTGCTTCATGTTTTTCCTCTTAGGGCTTCATTTTTTCCACAATTGAAAAATAAACAGGAGAGTTCCCAATTTGTTTTGCTCTGTAATTTTAAATGATGAGGGTCTTGAAAATGTGATTTTGTTAGGAGGAATGCCATCCTATGACATGTCAGAGCTATTGCTTATTGGGTTGTGTTTTCAGATGGTAATGCGTTCAAGTCTCACTTCAGTGTAATGTCTAGGCTGGTGTTCCACAGTGCAGTACATGGGAGATGCTGCCTTTTTAAAAGAAATTGTGGAACTGAAGTTTAACTGAGGAAATCTGTTAAATTGTTAAACTGCCCTTCAGGTGGGTATAAATGATCCTGTGGCATATTTTGAAGACTATCAGGGAATTTCTCCTTCGGGTCCTGATCAATATTTAGCCCTCAACTAGCATAACTAAAGTTATCTATACGACTGTTATCACATTGCTGTCTGAAGGAGCAAATCTTTCTTTTCTCTGTTTCTGGGACTTTTTGGAACTGATGTACTGGGGATATTAAACGTGCTAGGCTCTGCATCATGGTTTCATGAAGTGTGTTTGATTGTCTTTGGAATCAAGCAAATACTTTACAAATGTGTCCGATAGATTGTTTTTTTGCACCCTAACCCCACCCTCAATATGTCTTGCCAAATGGTTTGCAGCAACTCGGTTAGAATAAATTATGATGGCATTTCCCCGCACTTTAAGCTTATATAAAATATAATTGCCAAGCTTTCGATCCCCTGTTCTAATGTCTCTCAATACAGCATGGTATGAAATTTCTGCCTGATTGCCTTGGGAGATTTTACTGCATTAGGTGTGATTTATTACAAGTTGTCGTTTAGAAATAACATGTAAGCTACAGGTTAACAAATTACACATTTAAAGAAAATACTTCTTAATTATTGGAGAATTAGGTGGGGGAAGTGGAGGGTAGGGAAAAGCTTGCTAAGTCAACATATCATCAGATAAAGGCATAACTACACAAGGCCTCAAGTAGATAGTCATTTGCAGGAAGATGATTTGCTGAAAAATGACATGTGTCACAGAGGTAACAGTTCGAGGCCTAGCACACTGCAAGTTCCTTCTCAATTGTATGAGGATATACACCTTAGCCATCCTTTACACCCAAGGTTTGCTATAGCACCAGATTGTAGGAGGTAGTTCATTGCATTTTGTAAGCATGCAGCCCAACAAAAGATGTTTAGAGAAATCCCAACACCCTAGTATTGCACGGCAGCATCCCACTAACTGATGGCATGAGGCAATAAAGGAAACATTGTAGTTATGCAGCATCTGAAAATAGCTGAGATAACAAGGTGCAGAGCTGGATGAACACAGCAGGCCAAGCAGCATCAGAGGAGCAGGAAGGCTGACATTTCGGGCCTAGACCCTTCTTCAGAAAAAAATAGCTGCTTCAGTTCCTCAATTCATAGACACAGTCTGTGACTAATTCTGGCAAAATGTTTTATCGTAAGATGTGGGTGCAGAAGGCAAGCAGTTCAGCCCATTGGGTCTTCACCATCATTCAATGACGTCACGGCTGATCTGACAATCCTCAACTTCACTTGCCTGCCTTTACCCTATAGCCCTTAATTCTCTTACAGATTGAACATTTGTCTCCCTCAGCCTTAAATGTACTTAACAGCACAGCCTCTACATCCCTCTATGTAAAGATTTCCACAGATTCACTACCCTATGAAAGAAAAAAATCCTTCTCATCTCTAATTTAAATGTATGGCCTCTTATTCTGAGATTATTATGAGGTCCTAGATTCTCCCATAAGGGGTTAAAAAAAATCTTTCCTCATCCACTCTGTCAAAACCTCTAAGAATCTCGTATGTCTCAATAAAGTCACCTCTATTCTCCTAAATTGCGATGTGTGCATGCCCAATCTTATGAGGATAAGTCATAAGACAGTCCCTCCATACCTGGTATAAACCTAATCAAACTTTTTTGGACTGCCTCCAATAACTTTCCTGAGATAAGAGACCAAAAATTGTTCACAGTATTCCAGCTGTGGTCTGACTAGTGACTTGTATAGTTTTAGCAAGACCTCCTTAGCCTTATATTCCATTCCCTTTGAAATAAAGGACAACATTCCATTTGCCTTCCTGTACACATTGAACTAGGTGTTTCATGGAGAAGAACTCCCAAATCCCTCTGTTCTGTCGCTTACTGCATACTTTGTCCACTTAAGTAATGTTTAACTCCTCTATTCTTTTGGAAAATGCATAACTTCGCATTTCCCCACATTATATTCCATCTACCCAGTTTTTGCTCACTCATTTAACTTGTATACATCTCTCTGGAGGTGCAATGCACTTGCCTTCCCTTCTGTTTTATTGTCATTAGGAAGGATGGCAAAGCTTAAGAAAATGTGTAGAAGAGATTGACTAGAATAAAGACGGGAAAAAGGTTTTCTCAGGAGTTGAGAGTTGAAGCCGATGATTTCTCCTTAGAACAGGGTATGTAAGATAGAGGTATTCTTAATTATGAATGTTTTTAATAAAGTAAATATGGGGAATTAGAGGATGCAGATTTACTACAAACCTACATCCTCTGATTCTCTATGTTTTACTACAGAACAAAGAGAGGAATAAACAGGAGGAATTTCTCTTTTGTGCAGCAAGTTGATATAACCTAGAATGCACTGCATGAAAGGGTGATGGAAACAAATTCAATAGGAACTTCCAAAAGGGAAATTTTTATACACACTTGAAAGCAGAAAAGTTCACAGAGGGGTGGAGAAAGAAGACAGCACTAATTGGAGAGTTCTTTCGAAGAGCTGACACTGGCAAAATGGGCCAAATGGCCTCCTCCTGTGCTGCATCATTCTGTGAATTTATGAATAATGCAATTAACACCCACACTAGTGTGGGAATTCAATGCTTGGATTAAGGCATAAAAGAGAAATCCCCATTCTTTATTCAGGGAGCTGCAAAACTGAACTTGTATGGAGTGTGAATGTTTTAATCCTATACAGGCACATGTAGTTCCCTCCTTACAGTGACACTTTTCCATTCAGTACACAGCAAGCAGCAAAACAGACAGAAGAATTGAATGGCTGCCCTCGGACTACATTTCAGTGCTTCTTTCTCTTACAACAGTTGGTTATCTTTTTTCTGTAACCTTTCTGCTTTACTTGCTTTCAGATGGAAGATCCACTTCAATTAAAGGAGAATGGCAATGAATGCTTTCAGAACAAAGACTATGACAAAGCAATTGAATGCTACACAAAAGCTATTCAACTGACCAAGGACAAGAAAGTCCTGGCTGTACTTTATAGAAACAGAGCAGCTTGTCATTTGAAAAAGGTCTGGTCTCAACTTTTTTCTTCCCCCGAAACAACTAACGTTATTATTGGCAAATGCTCATTCATTCTGTGTTCTGGTATTTTGATGCAATAAAGTGATACATACATATTGATATCCCTGAGTGAGTGTAAATAACATAATGTGGGTGGTCTAACTTACTTACAAGCAAAATGGTGGAATTCAGTCTGAAATTGAAGGTCATATATATCAATCTTGCAGCTGAACCTTAGTTTCCTGGAGTATAAGTAGTGCAGGATGGTCGGGTGGAACTTTATTGACAATTTGTAGCGAAATCACTGTTATGGTCCTTGCATACCCATTAACAATTTCATACAAGGAGCGAGGACAATATATTTACACCTGTATAAAGTAACTGCTCATGGTACACCTCCATTATACTTCCCAGTGATAAGTATCAGATTGTCATTCAATAAACTTGCAGGAATGATCTCAAAAATATTAATCTTTTCTTTCATCAATGTCACGCATCCATTGAAGTGACCATAATCACTGTTACTCTCCTGGAGTACAAACAAAAAAATGACTTTCTATGATAGTAGGACTTTCTATAGCATAGTATGACTTTCTATTGTGTCAGGAGACCAGAGAAGTTGGCATTGTTGTCCTTACAGCAGAGAATGATTAGAGGAGATTTGACAAAGGGATCAAAATTATGAAGAGCTCGAATACAGCAAGTAAGGAGGAGCTGTATGCACTGGCAGGAGGGTCATCAACTGTATGCACTTGATTTGGCCAATGTTTTTACTGTATTGCAGTGAACTGTGTGAAAGATGGCTCAGAAATATCATAAAATCCACTGGTCATATTAAAACCTTGTTCTTTCTTCTTCCTTAAAGGAAAATTATGTGCCTGCTGCCTCGGATGCCTCAAAAGGTAGAGCAACTTCTCATTTTTCAAACTGACAATGCCTTGATTTTAAAATTATCATTCTTGTTTTTAAATTCCTATATGGCTCCTGCCCCCATAATCCATAATCGCTTCCAGTCCAGCCCTTCTAGTTATCTGCACTCTGTCAATTTTGGCGTCTGATGGATTCCTAATTTCCATCATTCCAATAGTGGCAGGCGTATCTTCGGCTGCCTGGGCCCTAAGCTTCGGAATTGTATCAATATCACCCTTGCTGTTACTCTCCCTCTTTAATTTGGTCCTTAAAAACCTAACCCTTTGAGCAAACCTTTAGTCACCTATCCCAATATCACTTTCCACTACACAATGCCGAATACTCCGGTAAAATGTGTGGGATGTTACACTATATGAAAAGCACTATGTAAATAAAATAAACAAATTGTAGTTGGCTGCAATGAAGGGTGGTTGACTTGCATTTATCTTAAAAGATAACATGTTGCTTCACTTGTCAGCTATTGATGTGGATGCATCAGACATCAAAGCACTTTATAGGCGTAGCCAGGCACTGGAGAAGTTAGGGAAATTGGATCAAGCTTTCAAAGACGTTCAGAGGTGTGCCACGATGGAGCCCAATAACAAAACATTTCAAGAAAACTTGCGACGTCTGAATCATGACATTCAAGAGAAGGTGAGATTTGAAACATTAGTTGTGTTTTTAAACAGTGTGGCTTTATTGCTACATCCAGAGAAATGAACTTGAAATAATAATTCAAGGGCAATTTTTTTTATTGGTTTGGTGTCCACCCATAATCTCAACAAAACATTGAAATTCTTTTTTAAGGTTATCCAACCATTTTAGAGATTTCAGACTCAAATAGATTCTTCTTTTTTAAGTAAAATGTAAACAAGCCTCTCAAAATATCCTTGAAAGTTTTGAAAATTCTGCGTCATTACAATGCAAAATGGTTTGCAACTTTGAACATTTGTTACTGTGTAATGTAAGTGGAACTATGCCCTCCCATGCCATTTTTATTTGTCCAATTCCTTCTCCTATATTCAAATGATAATCATTTAAATTCAGAAAACAGGAATTATCCGCAATTGGAACGACTCTTGAAGTAATGTGTACAGTTCTGATTTCTATGTTACAAATTCATTTTTGGTCTTCTTATTAAAGGAAAGATGTTGTTAAACTTGAAAGGGTTCAGAAAAGATTTACAAGGATGTTGCCAGGGTTGGAGGGTTTGAGCTCTAGGGAGAACCTGAATAGGGTAGGGCTATTATCCCTGGATTGTCGGAGGCTGAGGGGTGACCTTATTAGAGGGTTATAAAATCATGAGGGGCATGGTTAGGGTGAACAGTCAAGATCTTTTCCCCAGGGTAGGGGAGTCCAAAACTAGAAGACATAGGTTGAAGGTAAGAGGGGAAAAGATTTAAAAGGGACTAAAGGGGCAACTTTTTCATGCAGAGGGTGGTGCATGTACGGAATGAACTGACAGAAGAAATGGTGGAGGCTGGTACAATTACAACATTTAAAAGGCATCTGAATGGGTATGTGAATAGGAAGAGTTTAGAGGGATACAGGCCAAATGCTGGCAAATGGGACTAGATTAATTTAGAATATCTGGACAGCATGGATGGGTTGGACCAAAGGGCCTCTTTCCATGCTCTACATCTCTATGACTCTATATGAAGGATATGGTGTTACTGGAGAAGATGCAAAAGTCTAAAACCAGAACTGAGGGATTAGTTCTATTTGGAAAGATTCAATGGCTTGGATCTCTTTTCTCTACAAAGGCGAAGCTTAAATGCTGATCTGTTAGAAGCTTTTAAAATTATCAAAGGGCTTGATACAGTAGATGGACAGAGAGGAGATGTTTTGATTTTTGGGGGGTAAATCAAAATGAAGATCTTTGAATACAGGATAATCACCAATAAATTCAATAAAGAATTCAAAAGAACATTGTTATGTGAAGAGTGTTGGACCTTCTACAATGCAGAGTAACTGAGCTGAATACGATGGCATATTAAAGGGAGGTTAGGCAAACCCATGAAGGGAGAAAAGAATAGAGCATGGTGTTGATAGGGTGAGATGTGGAGAGATAGTGGAGAGCTCGAGTGAAGCATAAACACCAGCATGGACAGTGGACAGAAAAGCTTGTTTCTGTGCTGAAAAGGATTATGTAATTCTTCACACATTGATGCAACAGTTCATAGCTGTGTGTAAACTCTGAGACAACCCATTGAATGAGGGAGGATCCAATACTTACACAGATCCTGTTCCAAGTTTTTGGATCTTGGGAGATGGGTCATTCACATGGTCTGATGTCTATACATTTTTAAAATATAATTTATCAAATAAAGCATTTTACTTCTTACATTTACATTTTTTACATTTAACTCACTATGTTTGGAATAATAACATTACAATGTTTTCCCTCCAACAGCTAAAGATTCAGTTCTCCACGGATTCCAGGGTAGAGCGGATGTTTGAGATCTTGCTAGACGAGAACATTGACAAAGAAAGGAAGGAAAAGGTTTGTCCAGTTCTCAAACCTTTTTTTTGTACTGGCAGAGTGGGATTTGCTCTTTTCAAGGTGTTCACCTCCTCTTTTTTCATGGTCTTTCTGCATCCCTGTACAGAAATTAAATGGTTCAATTTTAAAAAGGACGCAAGAACAGAGAGACCTCAAGATTAATGCGCACGGAATATCTTTGACATCAGTAGAGAATGTTGAAAGGATGTTAAAAAAGCAGATGGGATCTGCAGCTATATAAGCAGAGGCCTAATATATAAAAGCAAGGAGGATATCCTAAATATTTATAAATTATTGATTATATAGTTTCAGCTGGTGTATTCTATGCACTACACATCAAGGAAGCTGTCAAAGCCTTTGGAGCGAATGCAGAGATCATTTGCTAAAATGCTACCGGGATAAAAGACAAGATCAGAAATCACACTACACCAGGTTATAGTCCAACAGGTTTATTTATTTGAAAGCTCAAGCTTTTGGAGCCTCAGTCCTTCTTCAGGTGTTAGTGAGAGAGGTAGTATCAGACCCAGAATTTATAAGTAAAAAATTGAAGATTCACACCACTGATGAGCATGTATTAAACAAACTTAAGATGCTGTTAAATCTTTAATCAATTAGAAGGTTTTAATTGATTAATATGTATATGTAAATGTATATGTAAAAATGTCGTCTTTTCTTTACACTAATAAAACCTTTAGTTACCTCAGGACCATGGCTTGAAAGGAATTTACATATACATATTAATCAATTAAAACCTTCGAATTGATTAAAGATTTAACAGCATCTTAGGTTTGTTTAATACATCCTCCTCAGTGGTGTGAATCTTTGAGCTTTTACTTATAAGTTCTGTGTCTGATACTACCTCTCTCACTAACACCTGAAGAAGGGCTTAGGCTCCAAAAGCTTGTGATTTCAAATAAACCTGTTGGACTATAACCTGGTGTTGTGTGACTTCTGACCTTGTCCACCCCAGTCCAACACCAGCACCTCCACATCAGGGATAAAGGAATTCAGCTTTGTGCAAAAAACTGGACAATTGGGATTGTTATAACAAACAATTCCTTCTTATTATCAATACCCTCCAAGATTTTGAACACCTCTGTCAAATCTCCCCACTCCTTTTTTGTTCTAAGAAGGAAAGCCTCAGTCTTTTCTGACATCCTTTTCTCCGGTACAATTTGAGTAAAAATCTCCTCCAAATAGATTTCTCCATAACATCCTTGATTGATGTAGACTTGCAAAACAAAGGTGCAGTTTTATAACGCATGAATGATCTATGATAAAAGGATGTCGGAATGTAGGAACTGCATTTTAAATTCTCAAACCAGCAGGCTTGATGGTGAGGGGGCCAGGAGGACAAAATGAAACTAGCGCCAGGCTTTCTCACCATCAGTTCCCCTGTTCCCAACCTGTCTGAAATTTTAAGGGAGTGAGGGACGCAGCCTGCCCTATTGTGACCTTTAAGTGGCTAATAAATGGAGAGGCCATTTGGGAAGCCCAAAAGCTTTAGCTGTGTTAGCTACTGTCAGGAAAGGAGGGAAACCTTCTTGGTGGCCATTTGGGTCCATTTGAGCCATCTGCCCTAGGCCAGCTCCTGCTTCAGCTCTCCTCTCCCATCCTCTTGAATCTAGCCACCAACTCGCTCAGCATCAATTCCTGGGTCCAAATTGTCAGGTCCTTGCAAGACCCTGATTCTGGGTTTAGTGGTGCTCTGCAACATAGTGGGACCTTCTGTAGTTACAGCAAAAGCTGCTACTCTCCATCTAAGGCAGGACTTTCTACTGCGAGTAGGGCGGAAGACTTGCCTTAAAGCAACTTATTCCATTATGATGCTTACAGATTAGACATGGAATAGTGGGTCCGCTTAGCTCTGACATTTTGTCTGGGAGGGTTGATTGTGGCAGGTTTGGTTCAGGGTACAGGGACTACACTGCTCTATCAATCCAGTCTCACTGCAATGCACAACATGCCCACTAACTTGTCCATTAATTAAATGTTTACTTGTAAACTTAGAACACCTCATATTTTCAACGCAATTGGCTTCTAAACAATAAGGAACACAACCTGAAATAACCAGGAATCTGCAGAATTCATTTCAAATACACCAAAGATTGAGCACAACTTACCTGGCATTACAGGGCATTGTGTTGATTCCTTGCTGTTTGGAAAGAGTCAATTGCATCAGGTTTTGTGGAGGGTTTCTCTCCACGAGTCTGGCAAGTTTTTTTCTTTCTGTCACCCCAAACCCGCTTCAATATCTACTGTACTCCTACGGTACCTCTCTCATCTGATATTAGCTCAATTCTCCCACTTGCCATAGCCAAAAGAACTTGCTTCTGCCTGATATCCTGGAATGCTGCAGCATGACTAGCACCGGTGCCATCTTTAAAAGATGGTTGTGCACCCGGATAACTCCAGAGCTGCCCTGCATGGTTCATTGCCCTGGGTGTGGCAGATAAGGGGAGTTTGGTACCCCACATTGCAGACAGGCACCTGAAGGTCCTGGGGCTTGTGCAGAGGAGAGACACCCTGCTCCCCCATGACTAGCAGTGGCTACCACGATACTCAACCCTGCCAGCCAGGTCAGTGCAGTCTCCGCTATCTAGTGCAATGTCCAGCACTGTAGGCAGGTGGTCAAGGACTTTCTCTATTTCACCAAGTGCCACTGCCTTGTCTCCAATACCTCACACTCACTCTATCTTTGCTTCTGCGCCCATGTCGTACCTAGACTTAAATTCCACCACTCTCACTATCACATGAATCATCATCACTCACTCACCCTTCACATTACTGATCCTGCATGCCCTCAGTGCTTCTCACAGACTCACTCGAGCCACCTATCCACCTTTACCCCACTGCACCAGCACTAACAATTTAATCTCTCCTATTACCTCCCTTTCTCCAATTCCAGGAGAAATCAGCTCAAAAGCCAGCAGAAAGAGCCGAGATGGTTGATGGGGTGCCTAACATTAAGCTCCTCACCTCCTTATGCAGAGATGATCCTGACCCTGACTGCACCCAAGTGCCTGACTGACTGTGACCAAGCTCCTGCACTAGCATTGGAGGCTGCCCTTGACTTACTGTGCCAGGATACCCTGTCTCAAAGGTTTCTCCTTTGACTTGATTGAGGACTGTTGACGATCCTAACAAGTTACTTGCCTTTGTGTCTGCACTACAATGGCATGACAAGAATGTTGTAATGAGAGACTGGTAGCTCTGGGTGAGGGGGTGTGGGTGAAGTGCAAAAAGCTGAGGCAAGGTGGGGATGCTGCGGGCATCCAAGGTTCAAGGTAGTGAGTGCAGAGATGCAGCCTGGTCCAGTCCATGAGCAGTGTTTCTGCCTCTACATGTAGAGTGACCTTGCAGCAGCATGCAATGATGGTGGCTGGTGCATCCTGAGATACAGTATCTTTCAAACAGATTTGAGATGTGTCATGGCGACGCAGAGAGGCTGGCAAACGTTGAATGCCAGCCTCTGGGACATGTGTGAGGGTGGCCACTGCCTATGGAGTGTGCCAGCTATCCAAGATGAAGGTCCTCAGGTGTGAGCAGAGACTGGTGCCTGCCTAGGCTTCCATGTCAAGAATTCCTCAATGTCCAGTTTCGTTGCAGCTGGTGGTAAGATAATAGGCTGCATATTAGCAATCATAGAATCCCCTACAGTGCAGAAAGAGGCCATTTGACCCATAAGGTCTGTACTAACCCTCCAAAGAGCACCCTACCCTGTCTATGTAATCCTGCATTTACCATGGCTAACCCACCTAGTCTGCACATCCCTAGTCACTACAGACAATTTATCCTGGCTAATTCACCTAACCTCCACATCTTTGGACTGTGGGAGGAAACCAAAGAGAACCTAGGTAGACATAGGGAGAATGTGCAAACTCCATATAGACAGTCATCCAAGGCTGGAATCAAACCTAGATCCCTAGTACTGCAAGGCAGCAGTGCTAACCATTGTGCCAACATCCCACCCAATGGTAATGAGGTAAGATCTGCAGTTAATGAGGTTGCTAACAAGCAATAATCTCCTTAATAGGCTCCCGAGTGGGAATCACATCTCAATGCCTGGAACACTTTTGGAAAATGATGCAACAAGTTGCTCCTGATGTTGAGAAAGGCCTCATTGGATTTCTCATGTGATTCTTCCAGATTCTCACCATATCCCACATCTTTTACAGCCCATAAGATTCTGCTCATTGTGACAGGTTTCATACAATAATCTGAACTCAAATGTTAATGTGCTGATGTGAATTAAGTTACAAAATACACAAATAAAATGCAGTCCACAACTTTACTAATTCTAAAATGTAAAAGAATGAAAATCAAAAAAAGTAAAGTAGTGCAAATGTTGGACATCTGAAATATAAGTAGAAAGTACTGGAGAAACTCAAAGTGTTGGGCAAAACAAGAGTTGGAAAAAGCAAGAGTTAATTTTCTGAGTGCAAGAAATGTTTAATCTGTATCTCTTTTCACAGATACTGCCTGACCCACTAAGCTTTTCCAGAATAATCTGTTTTCATTCACGAAAATCAATGCTCACTTGGTTAAAAATTGTCACTGAATTATTGCCAAATAGCCCAATTTCCTTTTTCTAAATGACTCCAGACATCTGCTTTGGTGTCACAGTCAGTTAGGCTTATCTCCAAGGCTGTCTGACATGTCCCAGCGGACAGAACTTACAACTCAGACTTTTGCTTTTTTTCAAATCCCATTCCAGATACTTGAGAACAAAGTGTAGGTATAGGATTCAGTGTAGTACTGAGGGAACTCTGTGCTGCCGAAGACATTGGCTTCTGAATTGTTGCCTTCTGGCCACTCAGAAGGATGTAGATTATATCATGCCTGATGTTTGGAAGAAGGTGAGGGAGTTCACCCCAGTATCTTGGCCAATACTTAAACCTCCAAATCAGCCTCACTAAAACAGGAACAAAGTGTCTGTTTCCTTGCTGTATGACTCCATATGATCTTCTAATATTAATGTCTCCTGCTATGCACAAATCAAGAACACAATAAACAGAAGCAGAAATAGGCCCCTCAAACATGCCCTGCCATTTGATAAGACCACAACGGATCTACCGCAGATTCATTTCTCACGTCAGCCCCTTGTATCCTCCAACACTTTGATATTTCAAAAATCTATCTCCTCTTTTTAAATACTTTTAGTGATCTAGCCTCCAAAACTCCCTGGGGTGGAGACTTCCAGACATTCATCCCTCTCTGGGAGATGACATTACTTTGCAGCTCCTTTTTGAATGAGTGTCCATTTGCTCTGTAACAGTGTCCTCTAGTTCGAGACTTTACCACTTGTGGAAACATTTTCTGATCATTTACTCTGACCTCACATTTTTACATGTTTCAAAAAGATCACCCCAATTCTTCTAAACTCTAAATAAAGATCGAACCTGTTAAGTTGCTCTTGATAAATCAACTCCTTCACCACAGAAGTGAGCTTAATGAATCTATTCAGAACTGCCTCCAACAAGGATTTATAGGGGATCAGTTGGCTCAGTGGGCTGGATGTCTGGTTTGTGATGCAGACAGATACCAATAGTATGGGTTCAATTCCTGTACTTGCTGAGGTTGCCATAAAAGTTCTATTTTCTCAATGTCACCTCTTGTTTGTGCATGGTGACCCACAGATTAGACTCATCCCCAGTCTTCTCTAATGATAGAGCAGTCCTGTGTTACACTGCGATTATGGCCAAATGCCAATTTATCCTTGCTTAAATATAAGGACAAAATTAACAGAGCACTTAATTACAAAATAGCCTCTTCTTGGGTAGGTAGGCAATATACTCTCTGAGAAACAAAAAATGATGCACTCAAATTCATTTTCCATGCTAACCCTGCCAATCTGATTTGTCCAGTCAATGTGCAGATTAAACCTATGGCAATTGTAGTCCCCTTTGTTCACACCTCTATTATTGCCAATTTATACCTTGTCCTACAGTGAGGCAGCTCTATGGGAGCCTATAGGTGATTTATACCTTGATTCCTCAATTGCACCCCAACTGATTCCACATCACTATCTATTGCACCAATTATCATTGTGCACCATCAGCCCATATCTGCCGATTTAAACCATTTGTCAAATCAAAAAAGACAGAAGCAGCTCCTACCAATCACCTACCTGTGCTGTCACATTTAAGTTCTGAGAGATACAACAGGTTGAAGGGACTCTCTGCTGATGTTTTATTAATCTCCTGATGTTGCTGCCCTTCTCTCACAGGTCCTTGCTCCCAGTCTGCATCACTGTGATGCTAAGGTGCTGCATACTCCTCCCAGTCTGCTTCACTGTGATGCTAACCTGCTGCACACTCCTCCCAGTCACATTGCCAGCACAACAGTGTCTACATTTCAAGTGTACTTCATTATTTGTAAAGTGTCATGGTCATAAATTGTGCTCTATAAATTCGAGTCATCTTTATTGTTTTCCTTCATTTTTTTTTCTTTGTTTCTCTCGCTTTGTCTTTTCTACTTTTAATCCTTCCAGTACTTTCCAGCTTAAAATGAAGCACGGGACTGTAAGGCACAATGGTGTTTACTATTTTTTGATTGTTCAGCAAAGGGAATTTTTAAACAATCATCGTACCATGTTATGCTTGTTGTCAACCTTAAAGCATCGTAGTGTGTTGAGATAACTAGTTTGAAAAGTTTTGCAAAACTATCTCCCTTCAATCTTATTGGTTTTTCCAGGCTGCCAATAACTTGATAGTACTGGCGAGAGAAGATGCAGGAGCTGAACGGATTTTCAGAAACAATGGTCTTAATCTGTTGATGCAGCTTATTGATACCAAAAAACCAGAGCTAATGCTTGCTGCAATAAGGACACTTTCAGGAATGTGCAGTCGCCACAAGTCACGGGTGAGATGTCAGTTTACATTGGATTAGATTGAATGTACAGTATACAAACAGACCACTCAACCCATCTGCTCCTTGCTGGTGTTAATGCTCCATATAGGCATCCTCCCCATTTCATCCAGTTCTTTCTTCCCTCATGTTTATCCGGCTTTCCCTTAACTGCATTTACATTGTCCATATAACCTATTCCCTGTGGTAGCAAGTTCCTTATTTTCATCACTCTGGGTAAAGATGCGTCTCTTGAATTTCACTGTTGGATTTTTTTCATGACAACCTCACAAGTGGAGACATCTGTGCATGCTACCTTTCAAACATCTTCAAGACTCCTGTTGTTACCTATAGCTCTTTAAAACTTTTGCTTCAAGCATTTACCCACTTTTTTAAACATTACCAATGAATCTGCTCCACTGCCTTTTCAGTTAGTGCATTCCAAGTAAAACACGTTTCCTCATACTACCCCTGCTTCTTTATCTATAATTTGTATGTTTTACTTACCAACATTCCTGCCACTGGAAACAGTTGCACTCTATCAGCTCTGTTAAAACACTTTATAGTTTTGAATATTTTTATTATATCTCTGTTTAATCATCACTTCTCAGAAGACAACCATCATTGCTCCAAGCTTCAAATTCATTATGATTCACAAAACTGACCATTAAAGCGCTTGGAATTTAATTATTGACCTGTTTAGAAAATTGATTAACAGGCAGAAAACTGGAGTAGGAATACATAGAATTGAGGTTAGTTGGCTCGCCGAGCTGGTTTGTTGTTCCGCAGACGTTTCATTACCGTGCTTGGTAACATCCTCAGTGCAGCCTCTGGCGAAGCTTCGGTGTGTTTTCCCGCCTGGTTTTTAAACTCTGGGGTCCATGGTGATGGATTGCCTCACTTCCGGGTTTCCTCTGTAGCGGAATGTATATGGGATCGAGTTCAATGTGTTTATTAATAGCATGCTTCGTGGAGTGCCATGCTTCCAGGAATTCTCGTGCTTGTCTCTGCCTAGCCTGTCCCAGGATCTTGGTGCTGTCCCAGTCGAAGTCGTGGTTCTCCTTGTCCACGTGGATTGAGATGAGTGAGTATTGGTCGTGTCTTTTTGTAGCCAGTTGGTGTTCATGACCAATACTCACTCATCTCAATCCACGTGGACAAGGAGAACCACGACTTCGATTGGGACAGCACCAAGATCCTGGGACAGACTAGGCAGAGACAAGCACGAGAATTCCTGGAAGCATGGCACTCCACGAAACATGCTATTAACGAACACATTGAACTCGACCCCATATACATTCCACTATGGAGGAAACCCGGAAGTGAGGCAATCCATCGCAATGGACCCCAGAGTTTAAAAACCAGGCGGGAAAACACACCGACGCTTCATCAGAGGCTGCACTGACGATGTTACCAAGCACGGTAAGGAAACGTCTGCAGAACAACAAACCAGCTCGGCGAGCCAACCAACCTCAACACTCACAACCCGAGCTACAGATCTACTCCAAAACCTTAGAATACGTAGAATGTTAACAAACTTAAAATAAGTAACACATGACAGTGCTGGTGCTTAACTATCACAATATATATAAATGACTTGATAATACAATGGAGAGCCAAATATTGAATTTTGCTGCTAATAGTAAAGATTGAAAATACAAAGAGTAGACTGGAGCATAAAATTACAAACCCACATTGATAGATTAAGTGAATCAGCAAAGGTGTGGCAGGTGAATTTCAATCCAAGTCAGTGTGAGGTCATTTACTTTTGTATAAGATCTGAGTGTTATTTATTTGGTGAAAAGCTGGGAAGTGTGGAGGATCAAAGAGAATTAGAGGTTCATATACATAAGTTGTGAAAATGTCATGGTCAGGGCTAAAAACTAATCATAAAGATTAATGGAATATTTGACCATATTCAGACAATTGGAAATAAAGGCGAAGAGGTTTTGTGCAGCTAATTGAAGTTCTGAGCAGAACACATCTGGTGGACTGTATATCGTTCTGGGCATTACAACTTGGAGAGGAGAGATTAGGTTTGAAAGGAACACATTGCAGTGCCAAAAGCATGTTACCAGGTCTCCAAGAGTTACATTATGAGGAGAAATCACATAAACTAGGGTAGTATTATCTGGTAAATAGAAGGTTAGTGGGTGATTTGTTTGAGGGATTTAGTATTTTGGAAAGGATTAATTAGTTAGACCACTTCTTCCCAAATATTTTTCCCACAGTGTTCCAGTATCATTTGGTGGCTTGAAAATTGTTGCAAGCCCTGAGTGAAAACTGAGAGCGAGAGCCTGTTAGAGCAGAAACGAGACTGCTGTAACTTGTTCTGAAATCCTCAGTAGCCATTAGTGCCTTAGATCTCATGACTCCAAAATTTTAGATTGTGATCCCATTTGGGGTCCCGACCCCCGCTTTGGCAACCCCTGGGATAGATAGTATGTGGAAGCATAACATTAAATTCAGGTCCAGAACATTAGGGCAAGAGACTAGGAACACTCATTCACACAAAGTGTGAGTTAAGTGTGGAGCTCTCTTACAAAAAGCTGTAGATGCTAGCTCAATTAACAGTTTTCAAGATGAGATTTTTTTTTTCACTGGGCAAGGATATTAAGCGTCAAACAGCATGGAAAAAGTCCCTTCATCCAACTCATCCATGCTGCTATGGGGCAACACAGTGGCTCAGTGGTTAGCACTACTGCCTCACAGCAACAGGGACCCGGTTCAGTTCCACCCTTGGGCAACTGTCTGTGTGGAGTTTGCACATTCTCCCCTTGTCTGCGTGGGTTTCTGCTGGGTGCTCTGGTTTTCTCCCTCAGTCCAAGATTGCGCAAGTTGACTGGATTGACCATGCTAAATTACCCATAGTGTTCAGGGATGTGTAGGTTAGGTGTGTTAACCATGGGAAATGTAGGGGATGGGTCAGAATAGAATGCTGTTCAGAGGGTTGGTGGGGACAAATGGCCTGTTTCCACACTGTAGGGACTCTTAAGATTCTAAGAAGTTTCTCAATCTAAACCAGTCCCCCTTGCCTGCATTTGGTCCATATCCCTCTAAACCTTTCCTATTCATATTTCTTTTAATGTTGTGGCCTGTATCTACTCCTTCCTCTAGCACTTCATTCCACATGCAAACCACTCTCTGTGTAAAAAAAATGTTGCCCTCAAGTCCCTTTTAAATCTTTCTCCTCTCACTTTAAAAATATGCCCTCTAGTTTTCAATTCCCCCACCCTAGGGATAAGACCTTTGCTATTCACCTTATCTATGCCTCTCATGATTTTATAAACGTCTATAAAGTCACCTCTCAACCACCTATGCATCAGTGAAAAGTCCCAGGCTATCCTGCCTCACCCTATAACTCAAATCCTCCAGTCCCAGCAACATCCTTGTAAATATTTCCTAAAGTTGCTCCAATTTAATAATATCCTTCCTACAGCAGAATGACCAGAACTATACACAGTGTTCCAAAAGTGGCCTTACTGACGTCCTGTACAACCTCAGCATGATGCCCCAACTCCTATACTCAATGGTGTGAGCAATGAAAGGCAAGGAAGGAGGATGGAATAGTGAAGAAGATCAGCCAGAGAGCAGAGAGCTTTAAACTAATTAGAGGGGAGGAGGGTTTGGGAGAGGGGAAATGTAGGCTTACAAAGCAAAAGGACATTGCAGCATTATAGGGCAGTTATTTGCATAACAACATTCAGAGTGGGACAGGAAGGGACAGACTGTACAAACATGGAAAAACACAGGGCCAAAGGAGGGAAATAGTAATAAGGCAAAACTAATGCTCTATTGTTGAATGTATATACTATTTCAGAACAAAATAAATAAACTAACAGCTCAAAGAGAAGTCAATGGGTATGATGTTATAGCCATTACGGAGACATGGATAAAAGGGGATCAAAGCTGGGAACTAAGTATTCAGGAGGATGTGACATTTTAAAAGACAGGCAGGAAGGAAAGATTAGTGGTTTAATTTTGTTTGTATGGGATGGGATAAATATGATAGCAAGAAATGATCTTGGATCAGAAGATATAAGAATCAATATGGATATAGATGAGAAAAAATAAGGGGAAGACAACATTGATGGAGGTAGTCTAAAAGCCTCCTGACACTTGGTCAAAGAATAAATCAGGAGATAATGTGGACAAGTAAAAAAGCCAGTGCATTAATCATGTCTGACTTAGTCTTCATGTAGATTGTTGAAGTCAAATTGGCAGAGATAGTCATGAAGAAGAGTTCACAGAGTGTATTCAGGACAGCTTAATATATTGTGGATCCAAACAGGGATCAGGCTATATTGAACCTGGTTATGTGTAATGAGGTAGGGTTAATAATATGCTCTCTAAGTAAAAGTTCTCCTAGAGAACAATGAACATATCATGGAAGAACTTAGCATTCCTTTTGAGAGGAAGAAACTTGGCTTGGAAACAACTATGCTAAACTTAAATAAAGATCATTACAAAAGGAATGAGAGCAAAGCTGGCTGGATTGGACTGGGAAAGGAGTTTAGCAGCAAAAATGGTTGAGGAATAATGGCAGACATTCAAAAGAAACCAGTTCATGGTTTACAGCAAAGATATTCCAGAGAGGAAGAAAGATTCTAGGAAGTGGATAAGTCAACCATGGTTAACCAGTGAATTGAAGGAAAGCATCAAATTGAAATAAAAAAAAGTCTTATGTGCAAAGATTAGTAATAAACCGAAGGATTGGGAAAGTTTAAAAAACAAGAGAAAATAAACTATAAGCATAATCTTGCAAGTATAGGAACATTAAGATAGACAGTAAAAGCTTCTGTATCTATAGAAAAAGGAAGACAGAGGCCAAAGTGAACATAGGCCCCTTAGAGAACAAGACTGGAAAAATAACAAGGGTGAACCAGCAAATGGAAAAGGAGTTGAATAAATACTTTGCTTCAGTCTTCACAGTAGAAGATGCCAATAGTGTTACAAAATTACTAAATAATCAAGGGGCAAAAGGAGGAGTGGAAATACATACAACAATTATCATTACACAGAAAAAAATTACTAGAAAAGCTTAATGTGGCTAAAGACCAATAAGCACCCTAGGCTTGATGGAATGCTTCCTAGGATATTAAAGGAAGTAACTACAGAGATAATGGATGCACTAGGTGTAATCTCCCAAAGAAAAAGTGCTGGAGGAGTGAAAAACTGCCAATGTAACACTTTTACTCAAAAACGTAAGGAGTCAAAAATGTAACAATATTCCAGTTATCTTAATATCTGTTACTGGCTAAATGTTATATCCTACTATAAAAGATGTACTAGCAACAGTTAGAAATATATAATACAATCGGACAGAGCCAGCATGACTTTACAAAGGGGAAATCATGTGGAACAAATTATTAGAATTCTTTGAGGAGATAAATAGAATGGTTGAAGGGAATGCAGCAGATGTAATATATTTGGATTTTTAGAAGATGTTTGATAAAGTGCCACATATTAGGCTACTTTATAAAAGCCTATGGTATCGTGGGTAGTTTATTAGCATGGATAGAAAATTGGCAAACTAATAGAAGACAGGGAGTTCCAATAAAGAGGTTATTTTCAGGATGGCAGCCTGTAAGTAATGGAATGCCATGGGGATCAGATTACAATATATACTAATGACTTGGATGAGGAAAGACCTTGTACCATAGCCAGGCTTGGATGACACAAAAGTAGGTGGGAAGACAATTAATGAGGTTGACACAGACAAACAGTCCACAGAGGATAAGCAAGTGTGCAAAAACTTGGCAGATGGCTTAGATGGCGTATAATGTGGGAAAACATGCAGTTATGCACTTTGGCAGGAGGTATAGAGGAGCTGAATATTATGTAAACAGAGAAAAAAGCAAAGAGCTGCATACAGAGGAATTTGGAAGTCCTTATCCCTGAATCATAAAAAGTTAGCATGCAAGTTCATCAGGTAATAGGAGAGGCAAATGGAATGTCGGCCTTTATTCCAAAGGGAATGGAGTATAAAACTAGGGAGGTCTTGCTAAAACTATGTGATGCACCAGACCACACCTGGAGTACCATGAGGTTATAACTCAATCAGAGATAGTAAGAAGCTTTAGTCCCCTTATGTATGGAAAGGTATATTGCATTGGAGGCAGTCCAGAGAAGGTCACTAAGTTTATTCTGAGTATGGAGGCCTTATATAATGAGGTGATGTTGAGTCATTAGGAGTACTCCTTGAAGTTTAGATGAATGAGAGGCGACCTTACAGAAACATGCAAGATTATTAGGGGGTTGATCGGGTAAATACGGAGAGGTTGTTTCCCTTTGTAGCAGAGTTGAGGACCAGAGGGTATTATTTCAGAGGAAGGGATTGCTCATATAAGACAGAACTGAGGAAGAACTTCTTTCAAAGCATAGTGAATCTGTGGAATTCTTTACCGATGAGGGCAGTTGACGCTGAGACATTAAGCTTGTTAAAGTTGAGATAGACAGATTTTTAATCAGTAAGTGATTCAAACATCAGTAAGCGAATCAAGAGTGATGGGCAGACAACAGCAAAGTAGAGTTGAGGATTATCAGATCAGCCACGATCTCATTGAATGGCAGAGCAGATTTGATTGGCTGAATGGCCAACTCTGCTCCTATGTCTTAAGATCTTATGTTTTTAGCCACAAGTTGGAGGGACCTGAATAACCTTGTCTTGTTCCTAAGTTCGATCAGGGTCTGTATATGGTCTGTGGTGTTATCAAGAAGGTTGGATACTAACGTGATTGTAATTTTATGTTTGCAGGCAATTGCTGTGTTGCATTTTGTGGGCTTGGACAAGATTTGCAGTCTTATGGCCCTGGACAATGAAGAGATTGCATTGGCGATCTCAAGTCTCTTCCAAACGATCCTAGATAACTTTGAAGGAGTAGATAGTAAAGAACATCGTGGGAAGGATGAAGCTCTGGTGCTGGGTACGTAAAATGATGGTCACAGATCTGCTTATAGACACAACCAAAGATTTCACACATCAAAGTATGTTAGATAATCGGCTTAAAGGCTATCATATCACACATAACTCTGTTACAATTTCATTATTACATGTACTATGCGGCTATGAACTACACAGTCATTTATTTTCTGGCTGTATATCTGATATCCAGCAGTTCTCAGAATGGGATTCCGGGGTCGGTGAGGGTGTCCATTGAGAATTTCATAAGAATATATGAAATAGGTGTAGGAAAAGGCCATACAGCCCCTTGGATCTGCTCTACAGTTCATTACAATTAAAGCTGATCTCTCGCTTGAGATCCACTTAGCTATCCATTCCTCATTTCCTTTGATCCTCTTAGAAACCAAAAAATTGTCTACTGCAGTCTTGAATATACTAAATGCTGCAAGATCAGTGATTCTCTAGGGTACAGAATTACAAAGATTCACAATCTTATGAATGAAGACAGGACTTCTGTTTCTGCTCCTAAATGGTCAGCTCCTTATCTGAGACATAACCCCATGTTCTGGATGCCACAGCCAGTTCTAGGCAACCTCTTGATGCCTATCTTGTCAAGCCCCTTCAGAATCTTAGTTTATTTCAATCTGAGCAGTTTTCACTCTTCTCACTTCCAGAAAATCAGGCGATCCTCGGCCGACTGTCGGTGCGGAGTTTGCACATTCTCCCCGTGTCTGTGTGGGTTTCTTCCGGATGCTCCGGTTTCCTCCCACAGTCCAAAGATGTGCAGGCTTGGTGGATTGGCTTGGCTAAATTGGCCCTAGTGTTCAGGGATGAGTAGATTAAGTGGGTTATAGGGATATGGGTCAGGGCTGGATGCTCTGAGGATCGGTGTCGACTTGTTGGGCCGAAGGGCCTGTTTCCACACTGTAGGTGATTCTATAAAAATATGAACCTAATTTACACAGCCTCTCACCCAAGGACAACCCACACATTCCAGGAATCAATGTCATGCCTCCATATCAAGTTAATCCTTCCTTAAATATGTATACTTTAACAAAATGGAGCACAGCATTTCACTACGTCATAGCCCTGTACAATTGTAGCAAGACTTCCTTGTTCTTTTTGCCTTCCTAAATGCTTACTATACATGCAAGAAAATTTTCTTATGAATACATTCAATTCTTTCGTGCCTTTTAAACAATCACTGACCTTCTCCACATCGTACTTTATTAATCATCTTATTCCCACTCACTTAACCTGTTTATATCTCTTTTTAACATCTTTATGTCCTCTTTCAGCTTACTTTCCCATAGAGCATTATATTTTTGGTAAACATGAGTACATTACCGTAGTATTTGCCAAAGTCATTAATATAATTTCCAAATAGCTGACTGAATCTGGCAGCATTCCAATAATTACAGCCTGCCAAATTGAAACTGCCCTGTATGTCCCTACTCTTTGCTTCCTGGTCAGTAACCTATTCCCTAGCTTTGCTACAATATCACTCCAACTCCATTAACCCTTGTCTTATACATTACTCTTAACTTATGTATGGTATCTTAAACATTTAATGCCTTTTGGAAATCCATGTGTACAATATGGACTAGTTACACTTTATCTCCCATACAATTCTATGATCAAATATTCTAAAAATTTTTAAACACAATTTCCTTCCCATAAAATATTGACTTTATCTGATCATACTACGATTTCTAGGTGTATTGTGAAGAGTTTTTTTTAATGTTAGTATCTGACAGTTTCTCAATGACTGTCGTGTTAACTGGCCTGTAGTCCCCTATTTTCGCATTTCCTTCTTTCTTGAATACTGTATAACATTTTCTGACTTCCAGTCTGCTAAGAACATTGTAGAATGCATGAAACTTTGGAAAATCATAACCTCCACATCCACTATTTAGAGTCATAGAGAAGTACAGCATGGAAACAGATCCTTTGGTCTAACTTGTCCACGCTGACCAAATATCCTATATAAATCTAGTCCTATTTGCCAGCATTTGGTCCATTTCCTGCTATTCTCCTATTCATGTACCCATCCAAATGCCTTTTAAATGTTGTAATTGTACCCACCTCCACCACTTCCTCTGGCAGCTCATTCCATACATGCACCACCGTCTGCATGAAAAAGTTGCC